CCGTGGTAGGTTACTGGTTGGAGTGTTGGTGTGGGAGGGTTAAGCTTAGGATCGATTCGCAGGGCTGCTATTTTTTTATGTCACCAGATGAGAGTCACGGCCCTAGCCGCGGCCCATCAGGAGGGCCGCCGGCTAGAGCCATGGTGGCACGGGACTAGGGCACGGCCCTAGAGGAGGGCTGTCGCCTAGTCCCACTGGAGTGACGGGATACAAGGGGCAGACCATGAGGAGTCCCGCCCCAGGTGCCTGACTTTGATTCTGAGGAGAATCTGTGCAGTGGCAGGGCCCTTGTGGCTCAGCTATGTGTCGTTTCAAGTCTAGTGTTACGGGCCCTTGTGGCTCGGCTCTTCGGTACCGTCTTGACGCACATTTTGGCTTTGATTTGGTTGAATTTGGATCTAAAATGAGTATGTTATGAAGGAAATTGTGAAGAAATACTACACAGAGTATATATTTTGCTATGCACTGTATATGAGAAGTTGTATCTTTGTGATATGTTTGATGTTTTATTAAGTATAGAAGCGTGATCATTTTGGAAAGTGATTCACTATGATTAAATCGTATTATTTGATCCAAGACAATAGAAGCATATTTGTTGAAGTGAAATGTATAGAAGTTGCCTATTTGCAAATCGAGCATGACATTATATTTTGAATTCTTCATGTTATTTTATACATGACATAGAAGCGTGTTATAGAGCATTATGGCATTTCACATGTGTCATTTTTCAAAAATGCATAAGGGGCCAACGTGAGCCCGAGAATACTTTCAAAAACCATAAGCATGCGGTATATCATTCTTTGATGCATTGAGAAGTAGTAGAGTTGTTTGCATGCATGAGATTGATGCATGAGAGATATATTTATGTATTATCTATATCAGTGAGGTTTTGGAAGATACCGTTTGGACTATGTCCTCTCGGGAGATATTTTTATGGACATTTCGGTCCCAATATATGTAACGCGACGTATTCCGACGTTACGAGTTTGGAAACTGCCCGCCAGGCTTGGAATCCTGGTTAGGGGGTGTGCACACTAATAGTTCGATACCTGATTCCACAGAGTTTGAACCACGAGATTGGTTCAGTAGACGGTAGGAGATATTAGGTCGGATTTATGCCGTTCCCGATGGGGTAATTCACGCTTCGGTGAAACCCTAAGCCGTCTACGAGTATAGAGAAAGAAGAAAGTCAATAGAGACTCAAGAAAGAGAGTCAAAAGAGACTCCGGAGAAAGAAAGAGAGTCAAAGGAGACTCAAGAGAAAGAAAGAGAGTCAAGAGAGACTCAAGAAAGTAAGAAAGAGACCTCCATTAGTGTATGAGCATTTATATATATATTATTGTTATTGTTATTATAAATGGGCTAGAAGCAGTAGCGAAAGCTGATTTCCATCGCCAGCCGCAAGGCTGGAGAAGAAAAATGGCTACCGACGGCCAGTATCAAGCCGGCCGTCAGTAGACGACGGGGTATGGTAATTCAAACACTGTTAATATATAATCTGTCAAAATTATCTTTAATCCGTCAAAACCATTCAAAATTTCAATATATGTATACAACCATAATATGCATATATATAATAACCATACAAAATTAACATACATATATATACATATACACAAATTGAAATTAACGCATATATATACACAAATTTTATTTTTAAAAAATGGTAAATCATTACACCTAACCTTGCTCTGATATCAAATGTAAAACTATAACAATAGGCATTGAATGATTTAACCAATACTTTCATTAGAAGCGTTAAAATACTAACCTGACTCCATGAGAGATTGATGAACCTTTCTTCTCACGTTCTCCATTCTTCAGGTTTACAGAGTGTTTTTCTTCTTTTTTTTCCTCTGGTCTTTCACGTTTAGCTTTCACAAATGATAAGATATGAAATTAGTATAGCACTTATATATTGTCTGCTAAACCATAATAGTCATTCCGATATTAATTATTGGAATTATGGCAATAATGTTCCATAAACCCATACAATTTAAATAGGCTTTAATAGCCTCATTGAAAGGAGAGAGAGGGGAATAATTACCCCTTGATCTGTTATATATTTCATTCCCATTACCTATCACAATGGGATTTTAATTGTTCAGACCACTTAATACATGGGACACAATAAGATTAGAATAAAAATATTCTAACAAATAGCACATCATCTTGATTTGACATCCAACTAGCATCAGAATATCCTTCCAGATTAAAATTTCCTTTGAATATACTAAACCATAGTCACTGGTTTTATTCAACTATTTCAAAATTCTTTTTGATGCCACCCAATGTATTGCACTAGGATTACTAGTGTATCTACTCAGTTTTCCTACTGCAAAAGCAAGCAATATCAGGCTGATCGTCATTACATACATAAGGCATCTAATTACTTTAGAATACTCCACCTAATAGATAAGAAAATCCTTAGTTTCCTTCACTTTGTCCAAATCAGTACCGAAGATCAACATGTCATCTACATATAGGCAAATAATAAATTTGCTATAAATGCATTTATTGGACTGATTAATTTTGTACCTGTTTGCCAACACGTACGACTTGATCAAACCGATGATGCCATTCAACCATTGTTTTGGGACCTGCTTTAAGTCATAAAGTGACTTAATTAATTTTCACACTTTATTTTCCTGGCCCACAGCTACGAAACCTTTTGGTTGCTTCCTGTAAACCTCTTCCTCTAAATCTTCTGATTGCAAAAATAGCAATTAACAATCTAATAGTACACAATTCTTGTTACAAGAGCATGTGTCAAAGAAGTCAATTCCTTCTTTCTGCCTAAAGCCTTGTGATACAAACCTAGCAATAGACTTTTGTTAAAACTCTTCTAATTTAACAGAAGGTCTTCTCAATCAAAATAAATTCCTACCAAATTTTAAATAATATTTATAATACCACAACACCAAATATTATTTATATTTCTTTTGGTATTACATCTGAAAATTAATCACCATTAGCATATAAAATTTTAACATGTTTGATGGCGAATGATGGGTAAAAGTGCCTTATCAAGCAATGTTGTAGGTCCAACAAAGAAGCTTTGGCAGGCTAGTTTAATAGTGAGGTACGGTAGACTTAAATTGACCAATTAAGTAGTGTAGGCAACACATCACACGTGGACTTATCTTTTAGTCTCCTTGACCACCTTTAATTTGTCGAATACTTTGAGGACGCTTATACCATGGATCAGGCTCCATAGTGCATTATGGACCTTGGTCCTGTACGACGTCATTCTTTAACGACGATGCATTCAATTTTGATGGTCACCGTCTCGTTGTTCAATTCATGTTACAATTTTTTTAACCATCTGTACGTGTCTTGTGTTGTAAGATTTTGTGTGCAATTCTATATCTTTGAGATTATGAATTCTATACCTAGTAAAAATTAATAGCTATGTAAAACACAACATATTGTGTATGTTATATTTTGAATTTGTCTTGTGTTGTGAAATTTGTGCCTATATAACATAAACGTAAATCAGATTTGGAAATAAGTAAATATATAACATTTGTATGTGTCTTGTGTTGTGATTTTTTGTCTTGTATGATTTATGAAATTTTGTACATTAAAAGTATGAATTTTGTACTTGGAATAGATTAGTAGATGTGTAACACACAACATATTGTGTGTCTTATGTTATATATGAATTTATTTCTTTTGTTGTACAAATTTTGTACCTATAAAACATAAATTTTCTACCTAAATCAGATTTGAAAATAAGCTAAGTAAATATATAACATGCATGTGTAATGTGTCTTGTGTTGTGAATTTTTGTATCTTGTGTTATGAAATTTTAAACCTTAAGAGGTGGTCAAGCACTTTGTGCTCAGATGACATGTAGTGACCTCTCCCATGTGGGTGGTCATGCGATCGGTAAGAAAGTATATTTGAATAGATAATGTAATAGAGTCCACAATACTATGTAAGCCCTAGTCCAAGATATAAATAATACTAGGGTTCTGGACTTGTTCTTCTAAGCGTACTATATAAATTATTAATTGTTATACTATGCAGCAGGGTTCATATTGGTATCTGCAGTAAATAGTTTATATGTCGATAGTTATCATGTTATGTGTCTGTACAACTGAATGTATAACATTTGCAAATTATTTTTAGACTAAGATCCACAATGCAAGATAGACTTTAGTCCATAATATTCCATATAATTTACCTTGAATTTTTGGGCCAACTGCCGCAGACTCCTATAATAGGAAATTTATATCGTGCACCACGGCGCACATAGCAATGTGCGCCCAGACACAAAACGAGCGTGTTTCTTGCTGACGTCACTCCGTCCGTCCGAACAGACCAAACCTCATTATGTGTATTCAGTTAAAATTTTATGTGTATTGTGTTATGAGTTTATGTGTATTCAGTTAATAGTTTGTGTGTATTATGTTAACCAAATCTCATTATATGTATTCAATTAAAAGTTTATGTGTATTGCGTTATGAGTTTATGTGTATTCAGTTAAAAGTTTATGTATATTATGTTAACCAAACCACATTATGTGTATTCAGTTAAAAGTTTATGTGTATTATGTATATATTATGTTAGATTATATGTATTCTGTTATGAGTTTATGTACATTCAAAACAGATGAATTTTTTTTTAACAACTTAACAAAACGATGTCGTTTTGAGAGGCGCGGGAGGCATAGTGTTATGGGCGCCGTGGTGCAAGGTATAACGATTGCCTATAATCCCATTGCCGTTTAATTTTGTTTAAATAATTATTGATCTGAAAAATCTCTCAAACTTTTCTCTTGGCATTAAAAATATAACTCTTTCAGTGTCCTCAATTTCTTTCCGCCTTCTTTTTCCCTCCGATCCCTTGCCCCATTCAGGGTGAATTGAAAAGAGATTGGGATGAGGGAAAGAATATGCAGTGAAAAGGAAAGGTTGAAACATTTTTGGAACCAAAATTAGTTACAAAAACAAGAACACTCAAATCTTTTTATTCAAATTAGAGTGGCACATACACCATATTATTGTTTTTCATAAAACCGAAAAATAAAGAGTACAATATAATACAGAAGTACCTAAATGGAAATAGGCTCGCCCATGCATTATTGACATATAAACAAAAAGGCGGCGTACTAGTACAGAACATCGATCTTTAAGATTCAATTCCAAACCTGAGAGCAATCTGTCTAGTGAGATTGCTGATATCCTCAACAGATTTCTCCAGACTGTCAAGTCTAGTCTCAATCTTATAGAATTTAGCTTCATAGTTGTTGCTGTGAAGAACGTTGCGAACAGCAGTTTGAAGTTTGGTGAGATCATCGTCAGAAGAGACTTTCATTTCTTCGATAATTTTCTTCACCTCCAAAAACTCATCGGACAGAGTTTTCCCCATCTTCTTCACCTGGGCAAGCGTTATGTCGTCCACTGTTTTTATTGTCATTATATTTTTCGCAGCTTCCGCATCTGCAGCGCTCAAACTCTTGCCAAACTTGTTCCAAAGGAACAGGTTTGTCCAGTTCAACTGATTGTTACTCAAATCAGCAGCGTCATCTAGTACCTGTATGTATGTTCGTTCAGCATATAGATCAGATATACTCAAAATTTTGAGTAATTTATACCTCCTACTACTTAAACTTAGAAACTATAAGAACCACTAATTGTACTTTTCTATTACCATTTGTTTTTTTTAATGTAGATTCTAATTATATAAAGAGTGAATTCCATTTTTGGTCCTACGGGGCGTTTTCAATTTCAGTTCACTTTAATTTTTTTTGTCACTTTACAACCACTGTTATTGAATGTGTTCCACTTTTAGTCCACCGTTAATATTTCCGTCAAGAGGCCGTATAATCAAAGGGTATTTTGGTTTTTTTTTTTTTTTTTTTGTGTTTGTCTCTTCTCTTTTAATCCAGGCGCTTCGTCCTCCTCCTCCGATATTCGAAGATGGCTCTTCGAACAACGAGAATGGAAGCCAAAGCTACATCGTTTCGTTCGTTCCAACATGGGCCGGCGATGTTTCTTAGGTTTTAGGTTTAATGTTTTCATTTCTTTAGTCAAACATAGTCTTGGATGAGAAGAAAGGTCAAAATACCCCTAGATTACATAACCTCTTGATGGAAATACTAACGGCGGGACTAAAAGTGAAATACATTCAATAATAGTGGTTATAAAGTGGCAAAAAAAATTAAGGTGAACTAAAATTGGAAACGCCCCTATAACAGTAGGACCGAAAGTGGAATTCACTCTTATATAAATTTTACATACTAATTCTAAACTTAATATTATGAAAAATTAAATTGTAAATTTCAGTCAAACCTCGTTAACCGAACCCGACACATAAAATGAGGCGGGAGATCAGAAGTATTTATTTCATTTTTTTACTATTATTTATCTTCCTTGTATTAGTAGCTAGGGTTGGGATAATGTTTGTGCCAATAATTTTACATAATACTATTTTTGAACAACATATATAAACATAAATATATAATTTAACTATCAATTTAAACTTGTAGTTGAAATAATAGAGCATATGTTTCAATTACCTCGAAGGGTTGGAAGGTGGCGTAGGTTAAACCTCGGCGCCTGTAACTACTTACAGGCAGTTTCGCCGCGTCCACCTGAACCCTATATAAGGTGGATTCTGGTAGCTCACTCATGTTAGTTTGATCTATATATATATATGTACTAAGTTTTCTTGTACTCAAATAAATTTCTTGCCGGATATGATAGCCCTTAATCCCCTTATATAGGCCTGCCCTGAGATTTCCTTATCGTAGCTAGCTGTAGTTCAATTATTTTAAAAAAATTTAGTATGAACACTTGGATAAAAATCTTAACCTTAATTATATTTGACCACGTATCTATGCTTTCACATTTATACACACGTACTATTTTTAATGGGTAAGAACAAATAACAACAATGGGTTTAACTTTAAACTCCATGGCAAAAATCTGCAATTAAACCGTCTCATAAATTTTTATTTGTGAAACGTGTCTTATTTTTCAATATGTATTACACTTTCACTCATAACTATTAACCATTAATATTACATTCCCATTTAAAAGTATTATAATTTTTCATAAAAAACAAATCAGAGTTTTCATCATAAATATTATAGTTCCCTCATAAGTAACAATCAATCAATTTAAACTTCAAAAAAAAAAAAAAACAATCAATCAATTTTGAAAAAATTGTAATTTATGTCCCTCACAAATATGTCAATTATCAATGTCACCGTACCTCTGAATTATTAGTTGTGTAAATATTGCTCCTTAACTTTCAAAACGTGACATATATTGCCCCTCCGGCCTCCCATAATAAGAAGGCCGGAGGAGAAACATTGTTGTTGGCGGAAGGAGAACAAACGAAGAAATAAAAATGGATGAAAAAAAAATGAGGTCTTCGAATAGGAAAAACGGCGGATAACCACATTTACATCATTAATAATTCAGGGGAGATGCAATATATGTCACGTTTTAAAAATTGAAGGGCAGTATTTACACCACTAATAATTTAGGGGTACCATTGATAATTGGCATATTTGTGAATGACATAAATTATAATTTTTTTCATCAATTTATCATTTATTAATATTACCTTTTTTCTCACAAATGACTATTCAACTCCTAAATATTATATTTTGATTTAAAAGTATTATATTTTGATTGAACTCAATAGATTATTAGTTTGAATATTTTAAATTATGTTACATCATAATACAAGTTCGGTCAAGATATCGAATATTGAAATCTCACATATATTAGAACTCAAAGTAAAAGTTATATATTCATATACATGTCATTCAAATGAATATATCAAAAAAAATATTTTAAATATTAGCTCAAAAAATATTAATATTATCTAAACTAAATTTTAGGTGAAAACTAAAAAATTAAAAAACAGAAAACAGAGAATAGTTTTCTGTTAGTAAACAAGTTTTCTAAACAGAAAACAGAGAATGAAAAACAGAGAATGAAAACTGATCAAAAATTAAAAAACAAAAAACAGATAACAGTTTTCTGTTAGTAAACGGACACTTACACTTCCTCATATCAAACAATTTATCTCTAATTAATATTATACGTTTTAACCTAAATATTACATTTCTATTATGATCTAACTTGTCTCACGAATAAGAATTCTAAGACAGTTTCATTCACAGCGACTCAACCTAATATAATTTATCTATTGGATTATATTATTGTATCTACATGCATTATTTTTGGAGTCTAACCTAATCGAATCAATTATTTGCTTAGGTGTTAAGATTAATGACACGAGATTGCACGAGATTATTTTGTTTTTGGTGAAAGAGATTGCACGAGATTATATTATTGTATCTACATGCATTATTTTTGGAGTCTAACCTAATCGAATCAATTATTTGCTTAGGTGTTAAGATTAATGGCAGGAGATTGCACGATCGACATGAAACGTGTCTATTATTCAATCTTCGCACTTAATATAATATTACTGTTGGCCTACTTAGAGATGCTCAGCTCGAATAGCCTTCATTTTCCAATTAATTACAATCTGACACCATATATCCAATTAATTACAATCTTACACCATAATTAATTACAATCATACACCAAGCAGCAGATCAGAGTCAACGATCGCAAGGCCCCTGCACTTATCACTACCAGACAACTGAGCCTTAAACTTCTCCTTTTCAATTGCTCGGTGGTCGGCCATGTCACACCGTCGGGTGGGGTGTACTTATCTTTTGAAAACAATACATCCTAAGGCCAATATAGAACTCGTTGCTCTTGAAAAAGACAATTTCCTAGTCAAGTTTTATTCAATTGATGATTATGAATATGCCAACTATGGAGGCCTTGGGATGCTAATGGATCATTACCTCATAGTGAAAGAATGGAGGTCAAATTTCGACCCATTAACAGACACTACTGAAAAGGTTATTATATGAGTTCGATTTCCATGTCTTCTGGTGGAATACTACGATTGGAGATTTCTCAAAACAATTGGAAGCAATATTTGTGACCCCATATGATTTGTGTTGAGGTGGATATTACCAAACAACTTTTATGGAAGTTTATCCTCAGCCGCAAAGTGAGAAGAATAGAATATGATGGCCTCTACATTATATGTTTCCTGTGTGGTATTTACCGTCACCATGCGGCGGAAACATGCCCATTGAATACAACTAAGCATCAAACAGAAAATTTTGATGGAGGGTTGTTGGGAGCATTTAAAGGAAAAACACCTAGTGAGTTGTTTTTCCAAGTTGTCCCACATTGGTTCTACAACCCTTTGTTGTCCCCCTTATAAACCCCAAGTCTTTAAAGAAAGCTTGAACTATATGAAGAGGGAAGAATGGAAAACCACGCATATCTTGTCGCTTGCTCGGCCTGTCATGACGTGTGGTGGGATCAACATTTTGCTTCCGACAAGACTTTTTCTACCCTATTTTTGTGGATCAACTCAGCACCGTGTCCGCATAATAGCCTTGTGCGTGTGTGCTTAGAGCCAATCCACTCCTCCGCTCCTTTTTCCTATTCGCACGGCTGGTGGGGGGTGGGCGGTTATATTTACAATATATATAATGTCTTCCCCCTTTCGTCAAGAACAAACAGAGAGCATACGCTACACACTGCAATTTTCCATCGCCTGAGCTATACAGGTTCAGTCCTGTAATTCTGTGCTGCCTGTCGAGAGCATGCGATAACCCTGATCGTAAATGCTTTTAAGGTAGAGATCCTAACACGACACAGAATCCTCCTTTCGCTCAGTGTGTCCTTTCGAAACCAGCCACATCAAACGTGCCATACATACACACGACATTGTTATTTCCCAGGTTGATATTCTGCATCCAACCCAACAGTTAAAAGCATTTACCTATCAACAATGTCTGAGCCATCCAATCCATCCTCTGATGTTACACCAATTCAACCACTCACGGGTGGCTTGAACTATAGAAGATGGGCTACCAAGATTGTAACACCCCTAAATTCCAAGATATTTAAAACCTATAAAAAAAAGGCTAATCTCTTATTAATTCCCAAATAGAGCATAAACTAGACATAGTAGTCGGGGTTCTATGCCACATCTGAGCTAGAGAAAGGCTAAACTAACTAACAAAGCATAAACCATAACTAATACCCAAATACAAATCAAGGCACGCAGGCCATCTCATCCAGGCTAGAACTATCTAAACTAAGTCCACGAATCCACTAGTGCGCTCCGAAGCTACTCACTGTCCCTGAAAAACATTCGGTGTAACATTCGTCAGCGAATATTGTTGGTAACCCACTCCAACGCGTTAAGTACAATATAGGTAGATATAAGAAACTCATTTTGAAACTGGAATACATATATACTTACGAGACTCTAGTTTAAATCCAAGATCAAGACTCAAGGCATATTAACAGACTCAATATCATAGAATAATCATAAGAACTAATAGACACCCTAAACATGCAATGCAAGGCATAACAGGCAGATAAGCATGCAAATAACTAAGGCATTCAATACAATCAATTAGCAAGTAGTCAACAAAGCACACAATTCATCCTCCGACCTTATACCAAGTTCCAACCTTGTAGCTCCCCTCCGTCCTTATATCAGTTCCAACCTATACCTCCAGGCCACCCTTATATCCCCACCCCTTATGCCTCCGGGCAACTACATGCCCCCACCGACGAACCCACATTTCAACCACCAACATATCAAGATGGTGCCGTAGTTCCATTCAATGATCCGCACCTCTAGTGTGACACCCCAAAAATCCAGATTCAATTCATGGATTAATTGAATAATTAATCATATTTCAATTGGTGAATTAATTCCTAAAATCCTGAAATTCAATACTTGAGGACTAGTATTTGACTAGTCAACCCTAAAGTCAAAGTTGTACCTTGAGCTTTGAAGGGAGTTCCCTTGTTCCTTACACTTTCTAATGTTAGTAAGGGCATTCTTGACCTTTCACATGGTGTTAGTATTGTAACCTAACCTAGTAGATGCCTTCATTCTATCCCTTACACTTTCTAAAATTTAGCTCTACCTTCTCTCTAAAAAGGTGAGTAGCTTTTCTTCCAAGCCAAGTTGAGGCCTTGCCAAGACTTCAAGAGTTGCTTCCAAGATTCAACCTTTCTTGTATTTGGGCATCTAGGAGGGTAAGATCTAAGTTCATCTTGTGTTTTTGGTTTCATCTTAGGTTTCTTTTCTTAAAGGTAGGATCTTTATGATCTTTTGGTTTGTTCTTGAAGTGGGTTTGGAAGGTGAGCATTGAGAAGAGCTTGTTAAGGTGTAAAGTGAAGTCTTTTAGTCTATCAGAGGTAACCCATGCTCTACAAAATCTATTTTGCTTACCTATATGTGATTTCTTGGATTCTACTTGTGTTTTGCTATGAAATGTGAGGGTTTATGCATTTGTCTTGTGAAAATGCATATCTAGAGCTTGTGTTTAGGGTTCTTTTGTGCCATTGCTTGACATTTCCTATGATTCAAGTCATTTTGTTGTATTGGGTGAGATTTGACATGTTTTGGACTTGAATTTGAGTTTGGAGATAAAAATCCCCGAAGGGATTTGTTGTGGTACAGGTTGTACCCGCGGGCGGAAAGGCGGGTAGAGGTCCAACCCGCCGCCCACCCGCGGGGTACATTTCTTGGGTGGCCTGTACCCGCGGGCGGAACCGCGGGTAGGGGTCTACCCGTGGGCCTACCCGCGGGTACATGTGTGGTGAT